AACATTTTACGTGAAGATACACGGAAGAAAAGCAGCGAGAAATACTTTTCCATAGTTACTGTTGATTGAATTTTCAATAAAGTGTAGATATCACATGATTCTAAGCAGTTGAAATTATCCAAATGGCCTACTCGATGATTCTTAAAATTCGAAGAACTTTTGAATGGAAATTTATTGTTTCATATTAACTTTATCCACGCTTGTATATCTACATTAAAAGAACGATAAAGTACTTTAAATTTCTTTTTTCGTTGATTTGATGACCCACTTTCATATTTTTCTATTTACTTCTTCTGGGAGGGAATTATAAGGAATCGTCTGGCTTTTCATTACATCAACAGGAACTTGGTGAAATATAAGTTCAATAATTAATTTTCTTTTCATCTTCTTTTTTGCTGTTATAAAAAGAGTAATAGCGTTTCAAAAGTTTCTTCCTTATTTTTTTTTTTTTTNTCCTTTTTTTTTTTTTTTTTTTGATGTTTAAAAATATATTTTGAATTTTATTTTATGTTCCCAAGAAATACCGAATTGCCAGCTTATAAGAATTTTTGGTCTTATTTGAAGAAAACACAAGTCATTTCCACATAAGAGGCACAAGTTGGTTTCTTTTAAGTTTTATTCAGCATCTTATGATAAATCCTTAAGGAGCATGGTTTCTTAGCAAGGGCTTGGAGTTTGACTATTCGGGCCGTAGTTTTGCTAGCAGTTACATCATAAAAAAGGCACGAATTTTTTATAGCTCTCGCTGCTTAAGCAGGGATTCTGAAAGGGAATTGGTTGCAAGAATATCCTTAGTTTAATCAAACGTCATTCAAACGGGAAAATTTAAAGATTTTGATATGTTCCAAAGATGACGCCATTCTGACGATAGGGAATTTTTGGGATTTTCTTAAAGCATATTTTTCTAAGAATTATTACCCATTAACTTCGGAAAATAATCTTTTAATTGGCATTTGACTTTTTATGGCTGTTTGCGAGAGAACAATTTCTACGTCTTGAAATTAGTAAGAGATATCTATTTTAAGCTTTTGATTTAATATTGAAAGACATCGTATGAGGCATTCTTTATTACTTACTGGCTAATAAAATTGCTACACTAGAAAGGCGGCACACCACGAATGTGAAATTTGTAGGACGGATTAAGCATGTTGTAGTATGCAAATGATTAGCTTATCAGCGCTTTCATGCAAAGCAGAAGGTGGTAGCGGCACCTACAATGTGTATAAAAGAAGAGATTCGACAGTAAGTTTCTCATGCAGTAATTTAATTTGAGCGTTGTTCTTGGGTAAAAAAATTTTTGTTATGCCTCGTGTAGGAAGAAGAAATGCCTACCAGCACGTGTCTGAGTTTGATCGAGGTCGAATTGTGGCCTACCGGGATTGCGGTTTATTTTACCGAAGTATTGCTGCTCGCGTTGGTCGAGATCCCATAAGTGTTAGCAGAATATAGAATTGATGGGTTCATGACGGTCATAGTCATATGAAACGCAGTGCAGGATCTCAGCGGAATCCCATCACTAACAGCCGAGAAGACAGACATGTTATCCACATAGCCTTAAGGGATCGTACAGATGAAATCATTTGCAAGACTACAAGTGTCTGCACAAACAGTTCAGCGACTTTAGCAGCAGCATGGACTATGGACTGTCAGCATGGCGACCATGGCTTCGGCAAAGTTTATCCGAAACTAAGTGAAAAATTTTCTGAAACCATGTGAAAAACGGACTTCCTTAATTATTAATTATTTAATAAAAATCATCAGTTCTTTAGCAATTGAAATCGTCAGATATTTTTTAATTACATTAATACTTGAAAAAAAAGTAAAAAATATAATAAGAAGTATTAAGGCTGTGATACCTAATCATAGCCAATATAAAGTTAAAATTAAATCGGAAAGTTAAATAAAGGGGAAAGTATTTTTTTAATGCGACTTTAAAAACATTAAAGTTTTTAAAGTCGTTAAAAACTGTAATTCTTTAAAACTAATAATCTAGAAAAAGTTCTTCATTTTAATATAATGAATTATCCAACATATTTTTTTTTTTTTTTTTTTTTTTTTTTTTTTTTTTTTTTTTTTTTTTTTTTTAACCTTTCTTTAATTTTTTTCTCAGAATGCACATTTTTTATGTTTTAAATAATTAAAATCTTCAAACAGTTGAAGTCAGAATGGCCGAGCGGTCTAAGGCGCCAGATTTAAGCTCTGGTTCTCGAAAGAGAGCGTGGGTTCGAACCCCACTTCTGACATTCATATTTTGATTTACCAAAATTAACTTTTATTAATTTCCTAGATAACAAACACATATTTCTATATTTATTAAACACTATTTTCAAAAATAATTCTCATAATTAAGTAAGTAAAATTCACATTTATTTAAATACTCCAAAAATAAAAGTTCGAAAAGCACTCTATACTTTATCACTTTATCATGTTATAACATATCCTCTTCAAGGCATAAAGTGATGCTTAACACTTCTACTGCAATGAATAAACAAGCATAATATCCTACGAAAGTTTTAAAAAGAAATATATCTTTCTTAACTCAATCTCCAGTTGTTAACTTTATCATTAAACAGTAAACAAAATTATATAAGTATGCAGATTCTATTTTTAAAAACCAGAAAGAGAGAAAGTTATTTTTCAATATACTTATTTTCAACTCGTAACAATAAACTAAGTTTCATTTTATTTATTATACTTTCTGAACTTATAAATATATATATTATTTATTATGAAACCAAAACGCATACAATTAGTGCTGCTGTCTATCGGCTTTTTTAACAAGACAAAATTTATGTTTTTTTTTTTACATATGCTACAATTTTACGGACGTGCTGCCATCTATTATATTAAATCCGAATGTTAAAGACGGAAATAAAATTAGATTAACCAGATGCAAAATAGACTATTAGAAAATTACCTATTAGCAGGGTCGGATTCAGCGTACGCGGGCCCTAGGCCATTCAAATTTTTGGGGAACTTTTCTCATATATTTTTTTTAATTCAAAAATGAAAGTATTTATACATCTTTTCATTTAAGAAAGCATATTTAAAATGAAAATAAATAGTAATAATAAATTTTACTTTATTTTGTTAAATTGGAACTAAAAAAAAATTATCGTATTTTATTAATATATATTTGAAATTGATTTATTTTTAAAAATCTTTGTTTTTTTAAATTCATTTTCGAAAAAAAAATTTTAAGGGGGTCCCAGGCCAGGGCCTAGTCTGGCCTAATGGCTAATCCAGCCCTGCCTATTAGGTACGTGGACTGATCTTCTAGTAAATTTAAAATATAATAGAAAGCATTATATTAGCTATTTTATTTCAAGAATTTCATCTCTGGTACAAAATAAAATAATTTAAGCAATATTTACGCAAGAAATAGTCATAGTTTAAAATTATTCATTCTACCTAAATTTAATGCTTTCCTTTTTTTTATGAACAATTAATCTGACAGTATAACAATTAAAATATAATTGATTATAAAATATAATAGATTTAACATATAATTCAAATGTAATAGATAAAATTTAAAACTTGTTTCTAAGAAGCACTAATTGAAAAGTACGTATAAACAGCTGTTTCAAACATGAAGATCAATGCATCGGCAAAATTTTAACTATTTTGTATCGTTATTTAATTTTATAAGCCAAATAATTTCGAACGCAATTTTTTTTTTATTTCGTATCTTTAATTTTATAAACCAAATAATTTCGAAGGCAAAAATTAAAAATTCACAAAGAAAACTATATGGCAAATTTTGTACGATTCTATGCATTTGTTATATTTCGAATTTTATCAAAAAAGGAATGAAACGGGAGGGGGAATGGGCTGCTTACATTTTGTCAGGGTTTTTGGGCACTTGAGAATTTTAGAAAGTGTTCAGTGTGTCACCTTTTCTCTCAATAGAATTTTTCTCAAGTAGTAATTTTTTCTTTCAAAAATAAGCAGCAATTTCCAAATATTTAATCCCAAGGAATAATAAATACATCAAATGAAACTAAAAAACAGATTAAGACTTTTTTATTTGATGATAAATAGAAAACAAATGATTCATATAAATAATTGATAACATTTTAATATATGATTGTAACAAAGCTTCATATTTTTAATTAACATAATAATTTAAATGATAATTAAAAATAAAACACAAATAAATATTAAGCATCTGAATGATGGAGATTACTCATTTAAAAAATGCACAAAGGGTGTATGTCACAGATGTTTTTTTTTAATTTCTATATTCCAAATTTCAAGTTGATATAAAGTTGTCGATGTATATTTACGTTTTCCAGAATAGTCCTAAAAATTCACCTTCTAGAATGTAAAACTTAAATCTTCTAAAAAAAAAATTTGCATTTATTTATTTATTTTTTTTTCAATTTCTAATTCGAAGGCATTATATATGTGTATGAACGTGTATGTATGTATATATATATGAAAGGGTGGCAATCGTGAGAGCAGAACAAACAGGCACAGAATTTTAAAAAGAGCACATTTATTTTGTTTAATCATTATGTGATGATGAGAAGAGAGAAAGAGACACAAACTTGTCGTCTCCTTTAATAAAAGTTTGGGAAATTCTTGCAAAAAGTCGGTAAAATGTCCCGTTTTAGGGAATAAGGGAAAACTTAGTAATTGTAATCGGTTTATAAAATAAGTTGCGCGATTCCCACAAAGAGCAAAATCTCTTACTTTTAATTAATGCATACTTGAACCAAAAATAGATTAAATGACAGGATGAGAATTTAAAAGTGTGAGAAAGTATTTCGTTTTAAATAAAAAAATTAAGAAAAGGATTTACAGAAAAGGAATAACATAAAAAGATTAATTGAAGCTTTTTACGTTACACACACATATATATATATATACATACATGAATAATAAATAAAACTTATTTTTTCTTAATTTTCTTTGTCAATCTCCCTTTTCTTTGTCTCTTTATTGTGTTATATATATATAATCAGTAGATTGTCGATATTTTTCGATTTGACTAAAAAAAAAATTCAGTAAATATGTGATCATAATAACACATTTTTATCAACTTGAAATTTTAAAAAGTTTTTTGAAATACACACTAATGCACAATCAAAAAGACATGAATGAGTTAGTAAAAACTAACCCATTTTAAAATAAATAAGAGATCATTAGTCATTAAAACATCTCATACATAAAAATAATTGCAGCTTATTATACTTTGCAGTTGATAAAAAAATACATTTAAATACAGCACATAAAAAAGGAAATTGAAGTTTTATGGGTTGTTACACTATTCCATAGATAACAACTGTAGCTTATAATTTTTAACTCCTCATATTGCATCACACTTTAATAAGAAAATTAATATAAATTAAACAAATACAACATACAAAAAAAAACTAAACAAATACATAAAGGTTATTTTATAGATTTTGGAAAAATTACTAATCAGTGTGCTATATATCAACAAAAAAATCTTGATATGCTTTATTTCCTTCAAAAATAATACTTTAAAATCAGAAAATGTACAAAAACTTTGGACGATTGCATGGGGGATAACATAAGAAGTGTTTTCTTGAAATCATTTGAAATTTTTATGTTTTCTTTTTAAATGAGATAGGTTTAAACATATAAGTACTCTACATAGGAGTAGCTTTGTAAGGTTTTTTCAAGATTGTTTTTGATAACCTGATATTTCCCGAGTAAAACGAAAATGGGAACAAATCTCTTTCACTGTGAAGTTTAGGGACTTACCAGAGACCAAAAGTAATATTTTAAAAACCTGGCATAGCTGTTTTAGTTTACGGGAACAAATTCTTTAACAACAATGACTGGTAAATCATACAAGATTTATCATCATCAGACCAAAATCATATATTAAAAACACAGCAAAGAAGTTCTGTTTATGGTGCAGCAATTTCACATGATTAGTTTTTAAGACATACACACTTCAAAAACATATTTAACAAGTCTCTTATAAAAAAAATGAATTCAGAGTTATCCAAACTTAATTATGCGACAACAGCTTAAATTGAAACTATGACTGAAATTGTAACTATACAAAGTATAACAGTTTAAATAAATTATGCATTAAAAATCAAAGTAAATCAAAAATATAATGTCATGTCCTAAACATAAAATTGCACAAGTGTAGAGAAAAAATAATTTCTTTTAAATAAATTGAAGAAAAAAAAATTTTACAAATTTTTGCACTTATCTAAAAACCAAGTTTTTCTAACTTTTAACAAGCGCACTTAAGTGAGATATAGATGAATAGGAGTTTTGTAATTTTACTCCTGACAGTACTTCCGAAATTAATTCTCTTGTTCATCCCCATTTCCCTTTGATCTACTTCAGTGTGTGAAGTTAATATCACTATAAATTCATATCTGTGGTGCATTCTAAACAGATTTGCTCTGATGAAAATGAAATATCTATGAAACTAATTTTTTTCTAGTTCTAAATTTTAATCATATTTATTACTTCTATATTACTTTTTTCACTTCAATATTGTACACGTCAATTGTTCAGTAAGAATATAGGCAATTTTGTTAACTTTATTTTGACACCTTTGGCAAGAATACATTATTGGTTTGATTTATGTCTAAATTAATTTTAATGCTTAAATACATTTTAATTATTTACCAAAAGCAAATTAAGCAAATACAGCAAAAGCAAATTAAGAGTTCAAAACCCAGACAAACAATTTTTAATATAACTTGATTAAAAATAAATTAATTAACAAAATATAATAAATAAGAGCAGATTTTAACTAATAAATTCAATTGGTTTCAAAGTGACTACCTTTTACAGCAATGCAAGAGCACAAATGCTTATTGAAATTTTCAGTAATAGGGATCAAGAGAGTGCCGATAGAGATTTCTTTTCACTTATGAGAAACTCTTTACTGTTCAACAAGCTAATAACCCCACAAATGATAGAATCGGTTGGTACGGCGCTGGGCCCATGTCCGAGAGCTCGTTGGCTCGAACCCCACTGGCCGAAGACACCCCGTGTAGTAAATGGTGACTAATGCACATTAAATCTGTCAAGTAGCAAAGTCCTCCATGTTCCCATAACAAATCAATACCTCTGGGGGTACTGGATTGGAGATTGATAGATCTCTGCTTCAGGTCTAAATGACGATCTGTGGATAAATGAATGTTTTCGCCCTATAAATGGGTGTGACGTATGGCGCCACTGGAAAACAAGAACAGTCGCACCCCTCTGCCTAAACAGGTAGATAAGTATCAAAATGACATTTTGATACTTATCTACCTTAATTCTGTTTTTAAATGTTATTTTTAAAGGTTTTTATTTTCAACTTAAACTGATTGAAAAAAACTATTTGATTGTTGAAAATCAAAAACAAAAAAAAGTTCTCTAACACATGCATGGAAAACCTTATATGGTTCACAACACAGCAGATAGTACATTGATTATATGTATTAACTGCATATACCAAAAGCTGAATTTATTCCGTGGGGGGACCAAAGCATTACACTTGTTCTAGTATATGTGGTCCAAAGTACAAGACTTTCCCCTACATCAGCAACTGGTTCAAACACATTAGCGATTTGTTTTTCACCAGCAATGCATTCTGACTTTTGTAATAATGGGGCAAATATTTCTGATACAATATTTCTGAGTCCTACCAAATAAATAACATAAAATAGCATCTGACACGATATCTATTGACTGCACCCAATAAATTACAAATAGATGATTTGTATAGTTCCATTAGATAGAAAACTGACAACTAGCAAAATAACTTTACAAAGAATGTAACTGTACGATAACAAACATTAATATAAACATTTTTACACATAAAAGTCACTTCTTAACTGTGCATTCAAACATGTCAGTTCTAAATGTTAAAAAAATATTTATCAAACGTTATGCCTATTACTATTAAAAATATACTGGATTTATAAAAATATATTTGGAACTAACTTGTTAGATACAAACAGCATATCTGAGGGATATGTCATGAAATATCGATTTTTTTTAAAGGTCCTAGTAATAATAATTTAAAAAGTATTCTCAAGATACATTGTGAATACCTTCTGTTAGGATAGTATTCAAATATGTGATATTTATCGACACTATTGTATTTGGTAAAAACCAAATACAATAGTGCTGTGAGTATCATTAGAAATGATAATTACTTAACCTGACAATACTGTGATATTTATAGACGCAATAATATCAGAAATATTATCGTTAACAATTATCTAATATGATAGTGTGAATTTCGACAAATCTCATTTGGATAACAAAGATAGTAACCAATGTAAAAAAAAATAATATGTTAATAAAATGGAAAAATATCCCTATAAATAGTGGAATATCTATATTTTTTGACAATAAATCCAGATTTCAATATTGCCCAGTACTGAAAAGACAGATAAACGTTATTTAATGTTTCTTAACCCTTTCGCGAGGGGAAGCGCGCTTACCGCTGAGGCCGGCAGTCTCTCTCGCATGTGTCTCTCCAGGGCCGGAGGGTTTTTTGCTGTTAAGCCTAATTCCATGAAATTACCGAAATATCAACGCGTTGTTTAATATTATTCTGTAGAATATTTAAATAACATATGCTTTATATATATTTCTCTGGATACTTTATTCACTTAAGTTATTTCTTAGTTAAATATATATTTTACACATTTTATTTTCATTATGTACTTATCATTTAATAACATTTAACATTACATATCTGAAAACTAAATATATGACTTAAAGTTCTTTCTTCGTAGGAAAAATTTTAAAACAGGGATCTACAAGATCTAACTATCGACTAAAAACTAAACCGAAAATCGAAAGTAGCGAAAAAAAACCTCCCCTGCTCACTGTAAACAAATACCACATGTGAATTTAAAGAGCCGTCATAAAACATTCCTTCCCCCTAAAAACTATGTGAATGTACTCTCATCTTGAGTAGAAAATCAAATCTACATTGTATCTGAAATCATATGGACATACAATGCCATCTTTTGGAAGAAATTTTATTTTTTAAAACGTTCCAAAACGCTGGCAGAAATGAGTGACGGCCGAGGGTGAACGAGAAAACGCTCCGGCACATGGGTATGTCAGCCGGGAAGTGAGTGCGTTTCTTGCTGGCACGTATATATGGCAGTCGGCGCGAAAGGGTTAATGGAGAGTAAGATTATATTATTAATATTATAATTATATAAGGTTGCCAATAATGTAATCATCTATAACAATAAATATTGAACTAATTAGTGATGAGAGTATTATCAATAATGATAATGTCACAAGTATAATTAATAACAACAACTATTATATATTACAGTTGGCAAATCCTATTTGAGTAACAGAAACATTGACCAATGTGAAATGTAAATTAGTTTAAATAGAAAAAATAACATGATAAATCATAGAACACTGAGATTTCATGGTGATGTGACGTAATTTAAATCTTCTTATATTCTAATATTATTTCTTGCATACTATTTAAGTTATCATTTGTACTAATGCTTTCAAATAATATTTCTACATTTGAATATAAACAACTGTAAAATGAAACCCAAAAGAAAGAAAATTAAGAACAATTATTTTTTTCCATTTCAAACTTCTTGATGGAAAAATAATATGAAATCACTTAAATAAAAAGTTGTCACACATTAAGTAGCAAAATAAATATCATTTAAAAATTTATAAACCAGAATTAAATTCATTATTAAATATGACACATTTGTAAAAAAAGTACTGTACTTTTTATGAATATTATAAAACATTTTAATGCTAATAAGCACTGAAACTGTATGTTTTATTAACAGGTATGTGTGTTATTGGATTAAAAAAATATAAAATAAAAATCAAGATACTGAAGTTTGTAGAAACAATTAATAGTAACAAACACCATACACTTTAGAAAAATACTTTAACAATAAATAGAAAAATATTTAGGACATAACTCCTTAAAATGTTTGTCAATATATAACAATTCAAAAAAAATATGTCAAGTCACAAAGCGCAATCAATCAATGAATCACTCATTTTTTATACAGCTATTTATTTGGATTTATTTCCTCATAATATGTGTTACTTTTAACTGTTTCTCTAATAAATGTAGAATACTGTATTATAAAATATTATTTTACTAATCTAAAAAATTTTATTTGCATTAATACATAATGAAATCAGCACGATTGATAATTCCGATTAATTAGAAGTTTTAGTGTTTTCATAAGGAAATATATTTAAATTCAACTTAAAAAAAAAAAGAACATTTTAATTTCCTAAACTTATTTCAGTTTAAATTATCACTCACATAATTTCCCAACTATAAAAAATTAAGTTTTAAAAAAGTTTATTTTTTCCTCTAAAGTTCAATGAAGAATATTTTTCTAAGTGGTAATTAAAAAAGTAAATTTTTAAAAAAATATTAAGCAGAATTTTAATATATAGAATTCTAATACTTAATTTGAATTTTATTTTTACCCTATTTGATTGAATTTGATTCTACTTTGATCTATTTGATTCTTGAATTGAATTTAAACTGATGATTACCTAATTTAATTGAGATCACTGTTTTAATCTCTCAGCTCCTAAAAATATTTAGAAAAAAAAAATTTTTTTGAAGATGAAATAAATGGCATGAAGAAATTACTTAACCGTTCTTGCAAAATCTTGCTTAACTCAAGAATATTTGTTCAACATTTCAATTTTCTTCCACAAACAAGAACATGTAAACAAATATTGCATTGCAGATTTCATACTTTTTTTTTTCATATTTATCATACACGTTAGACATTTTATTATAAAATGTAGGGAACATTAGTAAACATTTACAAAAAACAACTTTGGCAAAAATATTTTGAGCAATTATTTGAGCAGGATATCATAAAACAATTTATTATATATAAGATTATTCTTAACTCTCCGGGCATTATTTCCTGCTTTTTCAAAACTTTAAGCAAAAACAGCACTACTTACAACATATAAAGAGAAAGTAGTATATAACAAAGTAAATCCTTCATAATTTTGCTAAGAGTCATAATACTTAGAATATTAAATCAATACTATGATTTAAGACACTACAAAATATATTCAAAACTGTTAGTTTTAATCCAGATTTATGTGTAAGTTGTAATCCAGATTAATTACAGAGCAATGTAATTGGATAATAAGCTTTAGCCTCTTCAGAATACATACAGTCAAATCTCGATCCATCCTTCCTGCATCGTTTGTGTTCTCGTATGTATCATCTTATTTAATGGTCCCATCACAAATGCTATTTTTAAAAAAGTAAATAAAACCCGGTTAGATCATTTTTATTTTAAACTTAGAAGATTTCTTGAATCAGTCGTTCAGAAATTTTACTGACATTTAAAACAAAAATTCAAGAAAAAAATAACTCCCAATACTAAGGATGAAGAAGAAAACTCCTTAAACATCTCATTTGTTGTTTACGCATCAAATTATAATAATGTTGAAATTTATAGCCCATACTAGAAATGGTTGCAGAAGTTGAAGTGCACAGTGATGCTATGAAAATGGGGAAATGGTGCCACAACTAGTGTTAACATCTGCAGAACTTTCTGCAATCACAGGAACTTACAGAAAATGATCAGCAATCCGTTGCAAAAAGTCGAAAATTTATTGTTTGTGTAGAGGAAAGAGAAAGAAAAAAAAGAGTTCAAACCAATATTTTTAAATATTCACCTTTTTTGCACCTTAAGTACATAATTTTTCATTGTTCTTTTGCATTTAATGTAAGTACAGATTTTTAACAATTAAAGTTCTTTAAACTTATCAAACATTTATTACTTTTTAGGTCTATTACTTCTTTATTACTTTTCATACTTTCTTAAGTAATTATTATTTTAATTTGACCCGTATTCATCATTTTTCCATATCCATTATGAATAATGAATAGTTCAATGAGAAAGGATCGATCGAGGTTCTACTGTAATAGAATAAACAAATACCTGCTTAAGATCATTAAATGCTCATCCAAAATCATAACTATCATACATCTCGAATATTTTTCCGAGACATAAGTTTGTCTTTCTTTATTTCAATCACTGATAATCATGCACAGAGAATAGATTTCCATGTCCACCCAAACATGAGTTTGAAGATTGATATTGGAATTTGGAAATTAATACATTAAAATGTTAATTAACACAAGCAGTTTAGCACAACATTCATTATAAATATAAAAATAAGTATCATTACAATGACAAAAGCAACAAGCATTAAATAACAAGAGTATAATATATATCATTTAAAGCATATCATTATCCTCCATTTCACTTTATAAATAGGCATAATTTAGGAAGAAGAAACCCATGAATAAAAGAAGAAAAAAAATAAAGTGATAGAAGAGATTCTGCATAGTACTTATAAAATAATATAAAATTTAAAAATGATAAACATTATTATGAAATAAATTGTATATAAAATATTCATATGAAATAAGACAATTTAATAGCATTTTAAACATTTAAAAAAATATACTTCTCTACAAGAAACACCAATATAACAAATCTATTATCAATACACGACTTGGCTTATCCCCAAATAAACTGGATAATAATCATTAAAATCTGATCAAATCCAAAAACAGTCTAATATAATATCAAAGATAACAATTAATTTGGCATAATTACTTGCAGATATAACTTCTGCTAAACAATCAACTTGAATACATCAACAGCATCCTGAATTCCATAACTTGAGGCATAAATTAACAGATTAGTAAGACTCATGAAATTCTATTACTTCAATGTTGAGAGAATACTTTATAGAAATTACTTCAAACAGGTAATATTTGGTTTACTTCAGCAACAACACTAATAGTATTTTGTTCAAAGTCAGAGACAACAGATGGAGGCACTTCTTTTATTCCATGTTTCTTGAGAAGAGACCTTAGAGTTTCAACTTCCTGTTCCAAAGCATTTGAATAGAGACGGCATTTTGTAAGTTCTTGTTCAACACCTTCTTTTAATTGTCTTTCTTTGGAAAGTTTATGGTCAGATTCTATTTTAACAGACATTATTATACCTAAATACAAAGAAAAGTTTCCATAAATACTTATTTAATTAAAAACTTCGAAGAATTTACAAATTCAAATTAATTAATAGTTTGGTGCATTTAAAGAAAGTAGCTTTAAATTTATGTATGAGTAAATTAGAAAAATTATGGGTCAACTTTGCAACAGTATATTGATGAAATTAAACCTAGAAAAAATTCAATATGTCTAAAAAAAATTTTACAATAATTTTGTGAAGAAAAAACAGAAGACCTCTGATAAAATTCTTAGTTAGATTACAATTTTTTTCTTGCATCTGATCACATTTTGAGAAAAATACAAAGTTAAATGCCACAAAGAAAGAATAAAACATAAAAATAAAGAAAATCAAGAACAATGTAAGGCAAAATTAATGGTCCAAACTAGCCATGGGGCAACTAAATATAACAAATGGTGATTAAAAAATTGCCTGCTAGTTGACATCAGCTATTTTTTGTTGAAAAGGCATTCGATGTGCTTGTTGTTAGAATTTTTTTTTTTTAAAAATGTAGAATAATTGTGAATATTTTAAAATATATTGAAAATTACTTGACTTTTAAAAACATAATCCTTTACAAATGAACAACACATTTTATTACCCATTAATAAAAATTGTTCACCTTTAACCCACCCCTTTTTTTAAAAAAAATAGCCCTGGTATGCTTAAATAAACAAAGAAAATTAAAATTGGAAGCATATTTTGTTCATTATCAACAATTATAATATTTACAAATAACTTACTATATGAACAGATAAAAATAAAAAATGGAAATGTAGTAATGCATGAACATAGAAGTAATGCATGAACATCTATAACTACTTGAATACTTTTCTTTATTATATTTTCTTTGAAAAGAAAAAGAAAACTTCTTTAATCAGATAAATATCGTTTTTATATCTTTAACATAAGCCTTAGAAACAAATTGATTAAAAAGATGTTAAAATTAAGAAAAAGTAGAAGAAAGATTTAAAATATTTTGTTTAAATAAAAATCAAATGAGTATACATATAATTAATTAAAAAATTTTACCATTCAAAATTCGAACAATTCTCCAAAGACGAAGAACAATTATCAAAGTTACTCCAGTTTGATTCCAAAACGTAAGGTCAAGACCAAATGATAGGAACACCATGCATGCATCAAAAATTTCAAGTTTATGACGAAAAAACTCCAGACCAAAAGCGTACACTTTAATTAAAATTTCAATGATGAAGATACTTAATATGGTAATACTCATGTAATGTAAAGCCTATAATAAAAGAAATAATGTTAATTTAAAATATAATTAATGCATGATATCCATTAACTATTAGAATTAATGCATCAAATCTATCAGTAACTATAATGATTATTTTATTTGCTGTTACAATTTTTTTTAACTTGTTTTAGTTTTTTTAAAGCTAAAACAATATTTATATATTTTAAAAGAAAATAAAACTTATAATAATAAATTAATAATAATTTTTTTTTACTTCACCTATTTTTAAGATTTCCCCTTAATTTTTTTGTTTTTAAGTCTTGGTTGACATGATTTAAGTCTTGAACTGCATGATCTTTAGTTACAGGAGTTTTATTTTTAATGTATGTTTAATAGCTAAATAATCTTAAAATTATCTATCATTTCAAAAGAAACAGTGCTGTAAATAACATCTGTGAACCCCCGTGAAGCGAGAAGGCGCACAAGGATTGTGGGTCATGATCCAGTAATGATACACTTAGGGTAGCACAACCAGCAGCCCACCAGCTTTTGATGTGCAGTCCACGGTAGCACTTCAAAAGCTGGTTATATATATATGTTACTTTTCTTTGGAAATGGAATTTAAGAATGTGGGCTTTCAAACTGTTTACTGTTTTAGAACTTGGTTTCAATTTTTTTTTAACTTAAAAAATGCTTAAAAAACTGTTATAAGACTTAAGATTCATTTCATAAAATCTCTTATAACTCACTAATAATATTCAGAAAAGAATCAAAATTGAATGTATCTTTATTTTGGGCAATAATGCGTTTTGTTTTATTTTAAATCATTTTAGACCCCATTCAATTAAAGCGGGGGTGCCATCCCCACTGCAGAGGATCAAAATTGTGATGGCATGTCTTCGGTTCATCCTCAGGAATGTTTCCCAGACCGTTGCCAATAGCCCATTGTGCAGCTCTAGTGCGACGTAAATGAACTACAACAAGACCCCATTCAATTTCTTTAATTAAAATATTCAATTTGTATTTATGTTGTTTAATAAAATATTTATCAATTTTTTATTTTTGACTTTCATTGAAGAAAATTAGAGTAAATTTGTTTTAAAATACACTTTAGTCTTACGTGATGTGATAAAAAACCATCACTTTTTCGCTTCTTTATATTTTTTTTCTCGATAAATCTATTTTTTGATAAAAAGGAAATATATTCATTTTGATACGTATCAGTTCGGTTTTCTTCAGTTTTAAATGAATTTTAATATTTAAAAGAATTTAATTTTATGCAAATATATTAAGTTGACTATTAAAAAAGAAAATTAATTCAATGAACTAAGATAATAAAAAAGAATTATAATTTTTTATAAGAATTTAATTTTATGTAAATATATTATTAAATTGACTGATGAAAAGAATTGTATCTGAAACACTGATGTTTACATAAAAATTATTATAATTACTGTCAACATATCTACATACTGGGGCAATCAACCCTTCATTGAAAAAGATTGTGCTTCACTACTTCACAAATTACAATTAAAATATTTTTCCTTTCATAAGACATTAATTCACTTCACAAATAAAAATAACTATTAACTAGACATTAAATATAATTATTGTAAAAGAAAGAGTTATTCCCTTGCATTATTAAAATAAATATATTATTTCAATGTGGTAAGTCGGTAAGTGTATTTAATGTTCCAATTCAGTACTTTTTTTTAAAAAAATTCCGCCCTTCGCAACTATTAATTCCTTATAATTTAATATTAAAATAATTTAAATTAAAATACATAATTTCTAGTGATTAAAAATACCCAAATATTTCTTAATAGTATTCATGTCCAGATTATTATTTTAAAAAATCTGTTTTATTAAGTCTAAGATAGGGGACATTTATATATCTCGCAGATAGGGGGGGGGTGAACCTAAGTCTATGTACGCCACTGAAAAGAATATAATAAGAATAGTGCTCAACAGCATATAATTACTAGCATATGTTCAGCACAATGATGCAACAATGATTGACCTTAAGCACATAAATAACTTAATCTGAAACCTTAATAACAATATGAAGTGCTGAAATCTATAAACAAGCTGCGTTAAGGAAGAAGCATATTCTTGAAGAAACAAACTTGTTAAGAAATATTACTACTTACATGTGGAATATTGCTGTGTAATTCATCATGCCTTCCCTCTAATATCAATTCAGTAATGACGATTAAACTGTCAAGTAAAACTAACGCAATGATCCCTATCTAAAATACAAATATAAATATTAAGGTAACAAAATAATGACAACTTTCAAAAAACATTAGAATGAAACAATTTTATTTTAACATAAACTCTACTGCCTTGGCTGGAAAAGAACTAGGTTTCTATTTATGAAGATTGTTTCACATTAAAATATGAAATATAAAATATATTTAAAATGTAATAAGTTTGACTAAAAAAATAATCCCCGCCAAAAAGACTTCAAAAATATATTCTCTCCAAATATTAAAAAATATTCACTTATATTATTAAAATTTATCTCCTAAAACTATTTTACAGTTAAAAATTCTCCAAAGAAAATATTTAAAATATTAAAAACAGTATCCACTTCCCTACAAAATGCTTTCTTGAAGAAAATGCAATTGTATAATAGATAAATTATACATACATCCATTACATTTTTTAACATACATAGATACCTTTGGAACTAAAAGTAAAAAGAGTTCTTTCAATGAGTTTATATGTCTTTCCCTGTTTCTATAAGTCTTCTAAGGTAGGCAAGAATAATATCTCACGATGATAGTGGCTAAAGTTAAATGCATTTTCCAATATCCTTTTATGGACCAAAGAATTTTTCTTTTATTGAAAAAAAATTATCTTTGGGCATAGATTTCTACATTTAGCACTACTTTTGATAAAATTCAAAGGATATATTTTAATATGGAAAATATATTAAATTTAGATCGCAAAATTTCTATATCAACATCTGTCTTTTCTTCCCAACTTCGATCGCCAAAGTATTTTAAGCTTGCAAAAAAAAATTTTTTTTTTTAAAAAGCAAGTTAAGATTTGCAAAGCTTGGCTATGAGTTACCCATTTCGGGTTAGTTCCTTTCAGAGATTATTTTTCAGTTTCTCACAACAATTATTTTGGCACAGATACCAATACAGAAATATTTCTTTAAAAATTTTCATGATAAACAGGTTTGACTGTGGCAGAATTTTTGTGGCAAACCTATGGCAGAATTTTTTTGAACTATCTGCGACAAAACTCTATCACTAATATCTTTCTGCAATATACTTTTAATAATGACAAACATATATGTTAAAAATTTTAAATAACGAAAGCGCTGTGTTTACAGGGTAAAAAAAAAACTAGATAGTTTTTTTTTTAATACAGCATGTAATAATTTTTTATTCTAATATTATGGGTGATACTCCCGCATCTTGTGGGGGGGGGACACAAATTATTTCCTTCTTTGCATTTTGTAAATAATCATCACATTAAAAAAAAATAATTAAAAACCATGAAATCCGTAGTAGTAATTGCGGAAAAAAAGATTGACAACGAAATCAAGCGAATTGGGCTCCTCAAATGTGTGTTTAGTTTCGAGATTACGTTTTTGCAATAAATAATATAGCGTAAAAAGTATCAGATTTAAAAACTATCTAGAAATCAATAGCGATAACTGACGAAAATTCGATAGAATTATTACCTTAAATATTAAATACTGAAATGCACTATTCGAATTTTTCATATTATTTGAAATATATCTGGATATTTAAAATTAAGGTGAAAATCAATATTAATAACAGCTGAAAGTACAATAGAAACATTACACCGATTTATGATACAATTGTTATAAATTGAGCATGTCAAAAAGTGATTATTTAAATGCATGATTCAAATATTACATGTATATTTCCGTAGAAAAGAAAAGTAATTTTTCTTTCACTTTTCAAAAGAAAAATCTTTCTGAAAGAACTGTAACATTCTGCGACAATGTCGCCGTGTTGCTGAAATTCTCCCATGGGGCTGTTTAATAAGGGATTAAAGGTTTTTTTACTTTGATGAAAATGCAAAAACCAATAGAATTATACTAAAATAATAATTAGAATGATAATATAATAATATTGGAATAGTAAACAAAAAACACTGTTTTAGAAGAAAAAAATATATAACATTTCACCTGAAATTTATGCGATTCTAAGATGTGGCGGAGTTGTTCTCGGAATGTTAAATACGTTCGTAAAGATGGGTCTTCATCAGTATCTGACATGACAGAGCTAGTACCATCTTCTCTGAAATTCTCTTTTTCAGCAATTTTATTTAGATTATTCATACGCTCCATCCTAACTTGGCAAGAATTAACTTGATTTGATTAGAGGTATCTAGGAAAATAAAATTTAAACTTTTAATCAATATAATTCAAATATTTAAAAAAATTGTTTTAATACTGCACAAAATCTTAAAAGATTTTACGTTGAATTCAGAAATATGCTATAAGTTGATAGGGGCATGTAGATTATAATTGCATAGCTTTCTGTCTACATTTACAGGGGCCTGTCCAGGCCGAATTTACTACCGTTTAGCGGTAACTTCACAAATTTAACTTTAGGAAAAAAGGTAGTTTCACAAATTCAACTTTAGGAAAAACAATAGTTTCACAAAATACTTTTTCTTAAAATTTTATTTTTGTATCCCTTAAAGAAACGATAAATTCATATTTTTGTGTTGATTTTTTAATATAATTTTTCACAAATAGCGCATAAATTTTCACAAAACAGGTACCTTTCAGAAAAATCTAGACAGATCACTGATTTTTATAGTTGAACAACTTCCTGCCAAAATTGATTAAATTAATATTATAATTGAGTTCTTCTTATTGTATACACAATAGGCTACAAAAATTACATAGAATCTTCGTAAATATCATTCTTTAAGTAAAACAACTTAAAAACAAATTATATGCTTAAAATTTAAATAGAACTACTACAGTGGACCCTGTATAAAAACATCTATTATTACTTTTGTTTTAATGAAATTTAGATTAACTATGGTAAATTAAAGTGAGTTAAATATCTTTTGGCAGAATTTAATGCATTATTTTAATAATACGGATTGTAATTGAATTCACATAAGAAAGGCGCACCGATAATTCAAATTAAAATTTAGTTGTGGGAGTGATCTTTAGTAATTAACTTTTAAATTTCTTTCCTCAAAATTAAAATAGATTCTGAGTAACCTCAAGCAACATCCGGAGTTCCCCGAAATTCAGTTTATAAAAAAAATATTTTATAAAAATTAATCTTTACAGGCTTAGCCATTTATTACACAAAATAGCATTACACAAATTTCAGTCACAACATAAACAATGAAAACTGACATATAAAATGTGAGGAGGTGAAGGGAGGAAATGACTAAAGACATTCACGTGTTTTATATTTTATTTATTTATTTATTTTTATTCATTTGTTATTGTTTTCATACTATCAGTTTTCTGAGTTGTGCATTAATTTTGTTTAAAAAAAAATATTTGAATGCCTCTGAAATTACTAAGTAGATGTCCTAAGAACTTTATGAACGTTTGAATTGCGGACGTTCGTACCGTTGAACGAATAGACGGTTCGCCAAATTCGTTTAAATCGCAGCAACGGAAATGATCCCTAGATCTTATAAAAATGGTCCGTTATTCTTATTTTGTAAGGAAAAAATTACCTTGAGAACATAAATAATTTTAATAAAAAATATGCATGCCAATATTGTCTGATCATTTTTGCTAATTTTATCATGAATCTGATTGGATTAGCTTCAAAAATGTGGTTAATATACAATCGATAGTAAACAAATCGATTTCGTCTCGAGAGGAGAAGAGGATGGTAATAATTTGTTGATATGTTGAATTTGGCGCCTTTTACCGTTATAAAATTGACAGACAAATAAATAGTTTAATTAAAGTGATTTTTCTTGTATGCTAGTGACAAACCTGCATCCTCTATGTATTTTAAACATGTTCGCTTATACAAACGTCACGCAAACATAAAAAAGTCCAGGAGAAAAGTAACCTTGAGTCATTTTGATGAAGCTCTCCGATGTTATGCTTTAATCATCAAAATGGCGCGCCTCCGGTTCCCTGGTCGGCCAGGGCAAAGAATTGGAAAAAATTATATAAAATACATTTATGATGATATCAAAATGCCCATTGAAACATGTGTGTCAGTGCACAATAAAATAGAAGTTGGATTAAAACTCTTCCATGAATTATTTGGATACTCTGACGAGGTAATGAAAATGAGTACATAACTGATATGCTTTTTTGTATGACGAATTACAAAGAAAAATATTAAATTGAAATTAATGTTTCTGTTAATAAAAAAATAACAGATGTAGCATATTTTATGTTTCAGTTTTCATTGTTTTCGGTCGTGTTATCATCGTGGTTATCTGAAATCTTTATAAATGTTTCCTCCTTATGTCACGATGTTAAATATGTAAACATTTGCTTTCCTTCAATGCATTTTCTTATTTATGTTGGAGCATTCAGCTTAATCAATATTTTCAATTGAAACCTCTGATTTATTATCGTAGTAAATCTAAATGCATAATTATACATAAAGATAAAACTTCATTTCAATAGATAGCCATGTTTTTAGTTGCATCTATATATCGTTAAGTTATATACATATATATAATTATTATATGTGTGTTTTTATTTGCTGAAAATAACTAATAGAAAGTAATCGTTGCTAATAAATTTTGAGTGAACTTAAAATTAAATTTTTAAGCTTTGCAAATAGTTACCTTTCTTTAATGTACACTAAATATACTTTTCACATTTATTTTAATAAAATGTGGCATAGAATATCATATTATATACCAAAAGTGTATATATATTTGCGTATGTATTGTCTATATACATGTATATATCTATTGTCTATGTGCTATTATTTTAACATTTTCAATGAAATGTGTAATGTCTTATTTTAAATTTTGTGTGTTTACTATACCAATTAGTAATGCTAATTAATGATTATAATTCATTGTACAAGGTGGAACCAAAAGGTTTTTTTTTTAATTTATTACCTTTATTACAAAATTCTTTTAGTTACCTTCTATGTTTTTTTTTCCATTAGATTGTGATGCAGGCAGTTGTCGGGTTTTTTTTTTCCACTGCCTTAGGCATCTCTAACTTTGATATTGTCCAGTGCCCTTTGCCAAGCTGTTTTTACTACCTTCGTTAAAATTTTTCTCTGATTCTCAGAAACAGGAAAAAGTTGCATGAGGCTAAATTTACGGAAGATGGGAAATAACATGCAATCCCTGAGGGGGGGGGCGATTCCATATAATAATTTGTGTCAGGGTAAATACAGCCACCAAGGTGCCGAATGGATTGTAAAATTGCAAATTTTTAAAAAAAATAAGAGTAGAGATTTGCCAAGGGGGTGGCTATGTGTTATACCCTTCGAGTTGTTCCCCTCTGATTTTTTTTTAAATTGGTAAATGATGGTTTATGCTTAAAATTTTTTCTTTTATCAGTTTAAGCAAATTTGTATTGTACAGTGCACTCCCGATTATCCGGGTTAATTACCGGGATAGGTCGCACGGATAATCCGAAAACTCCTTTTATTAAAGAAAAATTCAATATCAGTACAAAAAATATAAAAATTACTGGCATTTGCATGCATAACATCAAACTAGGAATTTTCCTTATTGAAAAATGTGTAATGCGTCTTCNTCGTAATATTTTCAAAATGCAATTATTACATTTAAAAAAATTACAAACAAAATTCACTTTCGATACTATAACTGTATATTATTATATTTAATGCTATCATAGTGATAAGTTCTCCCTAAAATTTATCAAATGTGTAATATTATGTAATAACTGAATTTGATCCGCAACAATTTTTAAATTACTCTCTTATACTATTTTATGTGTTATTTCAAAAAGTAATATTCATTATCAAAATAAGAAAAAAAAATTTAGTTTATCAAATAATTAAAGACATCTTAAAAGGCTATCGCTATGCGCAAATTTTTTCAGAAGAAGTAAACTAAAAATCTTTAATTGATAAATAATTTTAGAGCTTTTTCTGTCATTTAAACTGAAAATTATAAGACACTGATCATTTAAAGGTGCATTATTAATTTAAAAGTCTTTTAAAAATTCATTAATATACTCCTTCCCCCATGAAAAAGGAGAAACTTATAAAAATTTAATTTAATCAGTTGAGAATAATAGTAACAAAATAAATCTTTGTAATAATCAGATTTAAACCTATAAATGTAGATAATTGTACTGGAGTGTATAATTACTTAAACAGTGAATTTTTTTTAAAAATGGAATATGAATATAAAGGCAGGGTTTCTAAGGGATGGCGGCTTATTTTTTCAAAAAGAGCTCATCAAAGGGCTGGCAGGACAGATGTCCCTTTGAAAAATGCTTCGAGAGAACACTGTTGATAAGTCTCGACTGGTGCCGGGACTTCAAAAGTAGTCAGGTCCAGGGTAATTTCCTCTGTCTCAGGAAGGGTAGCTATCTTTTTCTCCGGGGATGGAGTTTACTTTCAGGCTNTGTGTAATATTATGTAATAACTGAATTTGATCCACAACAATTTTTAAATTACCCTCTTATACTATTTTATGTGTTATTTCAAAAATTAATATTCATTATCAAAATAAGAAAAAAAAATTTAATTTATCAAATAATTAAAGACATCCTAAAAGGCTATCACTATGCGCAAATTTTTTCAAAAGAAGTAAACTAAAAATCTTTAATTGATAAATAATTTTAGAGCTTTTTCTGTCATTTAAACTGAAAATTATAAGACACTGATCATTTAAAGGTGCATTATTAATTTAAAAGTCTTTTAAAAATTCATTAATATACTCCTTCCCCCATGAAAAAGGAGAAACTTATAAAAATTTAATTTAATCAGTTGAGAATAATAGTAACAAAATAAATCTTTGTAATAATCAGATTTAAACCTATAAATGTAGATAATTGTACTGGAGTGTATAATTACTTAAACAGTGAATTTTTTTTAAAAATGGAATATGAATATAAAGGCAGGGTTTCTAAGGGATGGCGGCTTATTTTTTCAAAAAGAGCTCATCAAAGGGCTGGCAGGACAGATGTCCCTTTGAAAAATGCTTCGAGAGAACACTGTTGATAAGTCTCGACTGGTGCCGGGACTTCAAAAGTAGTCAGGTCCAGGGTAATTTCCTCTGTCTCAGGAAGGGTAGCTATCTTTTTCTCCGGGGATGGAGTTTACTTTCAGGCTCGGAATGAGAGTTTTATAGTATCGCTGGGTTGACACTACTTTTCTTATTTTGCTTTACAGCTGGAGTAGCTATCTCTGGGTTTTTGGTCGGGGTTTGCGATTTCATCTCTGTAAGAGTTTCAACTGAGCTCGGTTCTTCCAAGTCTATAGTAGTCTTGACTGGTGTTGTCTGTTCTACTTCTACTGGTGCTGGAGACTCAGCTGGCTCAAAAGAGTCTTTGTTTGCTGTGGTCTCCGGTTCTGGTTTTGTTGGTTCAGCTGTCGCCGTAGTCTGAGATTTATTGATGTCGAGTAATGCCTCCGCTAGGTAGGTCATTCTGTATTTGTTCCGGTGGATCAATGAATCACTTTTGTTGAGTCTTTTCATCGTTGAAGTGTTTGCCATTGATTGGTATCTCTTAATCAGAGAATCGATGTCAGCGTTTCTCTCAAAATCTTTAATTGCAGTTCTCCTCATCTCCTTCTTTAGTGCGGCATGGTCGATGGTTGTTTCGCGAGAGGGTCGGAAAACCTTCCCTCCGCGGCGAAATCTGTGTATGTTGCCATCGTAGCGAAGCATGTCCTACTCTCGGTTCGGACCGTGTTCAAGAGCAGCAATGATGCACGGCCTGTTCATTAAAAGTGATACATTACTAAGTTGTGTTATTTAAAATATGTCAATTGAAATTATTGAAAGTGTTAGTTATTTTGTTTCCACACGTTATTCGTCCGAAATTAATATTCTATGTTGAGCAATATAGGCTAGACTTAGAGGTTGGTTAGCTCTGGCGAGCAGGGCACATCGACCAGAGGTCTATTGTACCCAAACCCTAAAATCATTATTAGCATGAAATCCCTATGGCTGAAATAAAATTCAGCAAGCACCTTACAGGAACATCTTGCAGTTCCCAGGCATTGACGATATGCTGCCCTAAATGCTCAAATCTTTGAGCAGAATAGACCTCACAATCACAGAGTGTGTCGTGATGTCTCTTCTTCTAGATGACATCCCCGACAAAGAGAATTGGATTCTATTCCCATAATGTTTAGGTATCTCCTGAGGATACAGTGACCAGTAAGAAGACCTATGATCTTCCTTATACTGTTTCTATTAAGCTTTAAGAGCTCCTTTTGACGTACACTAGGACAGTCTCGATTCAGCTCCTTAGCTTNTCCGGATAATCGGTTCCCTACTGTATATCAATAAATATTTGATATTTTTTATACAATTTACTTTAACTTATTAAAGGAAAATAATATAATATAATAGGAAAAGGTTTATAAGTTTTGAAGCCTCCACAATGTGACAACAACAAAAGTGAATACCTTATCCTTTAAATATAAATATGCTATTAATACTGATAAATTATGTTTTTGCATAAGGATAAATAATGCAATATTAAAAATAATAAATTTTTAAAAAATAATAATAAATTTGTTTAAAAATTAACCTTTTATTTTTCACAATATTTTTTTTAAAAAAAAAAAAAAAAATTTTTAAATATAAATATATTAGTTAAAATTGGAAATACGAAATAACTGAAAAATGTATTAACAGTTTTGAAGGGCATAACATCAGTTTCAGTTACTAACAGTGGTGATGTATCACCGCTATGCTAAAAGAATTGCAAGCATTAAAAATTACTCAAGCAATGCAGGTATTTCATTACTTGGCCTGTTTATTAAACCCTAAATATGAAGGAGAAAGCTTGTCTGATGTGCAAAAAGAAAAAGCTCGGTCATATTTGACTGGCAAATTTCCTGAGTGCATTTATTTTTTGATTGCCTATGAAGCTGAAATGACACCATTTCCGATAACTTACTTCACAGAAGCTGGGAGAACCATTAAACCAGTGACATGGTGGGTGGCTATTGAAAAATCAATATTATTTGTTGAATATCCCATAAGACATTTTTAAATTCATCACTGTTCTACTCTCATGCCCAGCAAGCTCAGCGTCAATTGAAAGGATGTTTTCAAGTTTTGGAGTAATTCACTCAAAACTTAGAAACGTCTTG